AACATCTCGGTGGACCTTGGGGCGCGAAAGTTTGGCCTTTGGATGTTCTCGGGAGAGGGCGTCACCCTGGGATCATGATCATGATCAGGTCACGCGTCAATCTACTATGACTGGGTCCAAAATTGTTGGCCTCGACGATTGAAGGCCTATCAAACGAGAAAATATCGTCAATCCCAGTTTATACACGAAAGCAAGAAAATTGTAGGAGGAACTTACCAAATTTGGGAGATGTATTCCTCCACAGCTGTTCGATTCGTTATGTCGAGGACAGAGACTTCTTCAGGCTCAATTATTACCCCATTTTGTGGCTTTCCCCTTCCAAACATTAGTGCACTCTTAATAGCAGGGTTGAATGTGATGATGGCTTCCATTGGTCCTCTGTGACAATCATTGGAGATATCAAGACGAGAGCTCATAGACATGTTTTGCAAGATATACTCACGGATTGGTCTTCTCAGAATTGGATAACATTATCTGGTCATCAAGACGTCCAACAACGCGATACAGTGGGAGTGTAGGGTGTTTGGCCAGCAAGTCGTTGGTGTGATACGTTTGGAGTGACATAATTGCTTCGATTGCAGTGGTCGAACATCGATGCACATCAGAAGACTGAAAAATTCAGAGAAAATCAGTTTCTTGACCCTGTTCGAACTAATATCATTCCCATGCGCAGCTCACCAGTACGACCAATTCATAGAGGTCATTCTCATGCGGTATGAAGCGAGTGGTGAGCTGGGGTGACATTTCGAAGTACTCCCAGTCTGCCCCTAAGCAACGGTCAGAAAAAAGGGCGGAGATCGGGCCCACTTCGGTGCTGTATTGAGAAGGTGACCATTGAATGGTCAAAGTCACACATTGAATAAATATGAAAGGACCCAAGCGTGCACTCACGATCCATACACCACACAGAGGTTGACACCACTCTTGACAAGCTGATTCCCAATCTCGGTGTTGAGTGGTCCTCCTCCAAATCCAACCCTCTTCAAGGTGCGAAGGGTTTCGATGCTCGACGGGTCGGAGGCGAATTCCTGTTATGGATGAATCCGAACTCAGAGGTATGTGATGACAATGAGATGCATTCAATGGATGACTCACAGTGAGCATCATGGGGCTAAAGGAAGCGATAGTACAACCTAAAGATGCTATCGCCTGTATTACGTTGAAAGAGTTGGGTGTCTTGGGTTTGCATCGGCCATCAGGCCCAATATCGGGTCGAAAGAATCCAGAAATGGAACCTGTTGAAAGGTTGATCAGCGATCCAACATGAAAGCCCATCGCGTGAAATGCTGGCAAGGCCATGGCCGCGGTCAGTTCGCCCTCCCAGCAAAATCTGTTGGAAAGTGGGGCTCTGAGCCAAGATTGAATAACAGATCGACTCATGTAGAGTGTCTTGGGGAACGCAGTGGAGCCTGATGAATGAAGAATCATGACCGGCTCGCAAGCAGCTTTGATAGGCGTTGGAATCGATTCCAATTTTTCGTGTACCGTGGGGTCGAAGATATACGCAGACCCGGTGACGAGGCGGGGGAAGAGAGTATGCGCTGATGGAAGCTCCATTACCTCTCGTAAATACGATTCTGGCAAAAGTTTGAGGACCTCATCCATTTGGTCTCGACTCATTTTCTCGCTGACTGACATGTTGGAGGCGTTGTGAGACATGAGCCGTGGGTCAAATTCTACATAAACATTCCGACAACTTGAGGATTTAAGCAGATGAGCGATCGCAGCCGGAGAGTTTCTCGGGGAAATCGCAAAGGGCTGTATCAATTAGGGGAGAAAAAGGACCGCTCAGCACAAAGAATTGGGGGTCCACAACATCGACTCTGGAACTTACGACACATCCCGCCTTCATGATACCTAACAGCACGGTGAAGTAAACCAACGGCTCGCTGTGCGCGATGAGGCCGACGACAGGCGAAGTACCGGGAGCAGCTGAACATGTGCTACTCAATTCTTGGTACACCTTGAGCAGTGCACTTCCTATTTCGTTCCACGTTATGATATCCTTCGCGATACCGTCTTTTTCTGAAGCAGCGAGGATTCCAAATGGATATGAAGAATTGTGGGTAACGTGAAAATCTACCAACTCGTTGGGTGTAACTTCTGGATTGTCTAACACAGGTGTGTTGAACTTAGGGAACTTGAAGCCAGCTTCACGATTGACCCCCGTGGGGAACGAGTTGAGATTTGGATCCATTTTGTTTACAGAGTCTTGAAAGATGGAAATATATATGTAATTAGTTGAAAAGCGAAATCGATGATAGGAAGACGGAAAATAGGGTGGGTGAACAACGAAATAGGAAGTGGCTAGATAGCAGCATATATAGAATTCCTTCACTGAGCTCAAAGGCAGCAAATCAAATTTAACGACATTGTAAATTGAAGGATGTTTAAATAGAGCAATGTGGACCAAGAGTTTGGACCATCAATCCGATCGTGGCATTGTAGGCCAGAAGTGGATGACCGGCCAATAAGCACCCTCACTGAGCGAAGTTATAACGGGCCCCG